GTTATGATTCATTCCCATCATGCACCATCACCTTATTTGTACCAGGAATAATTATTTGGATACATTAATTACAAAAATAAATTCAAGAAGAGGTGGAGGAAAAGTTGTTAGGAAAGCTTTCTCAATGCCTGCGTCTACAGAGATTGGTTCAGTTCCCTTCCCTCCCCCTTTAACAGCTTGTGATCCTTGGCCTTCCATGTGATAAAGGTGGAGCAGGTAACTGTGTGCTGTGTGAAGCTGCTGGGTGTTCTAATACCTTCTTTGGCATAGCCCACAGTAGTTGGGCATGAAAGCAGTTAGACACCCACAGCTGGCCTGTGCCACCTGACTCATGCTCATGGGCAGTGGGGTCGACAACCTCACTGGGCCTCTAGGGGCAAGGCAGGGGAGCCCTGCTTCATGCCCTGGAAGGGGAGGGGTCTTGGATAGGAGGCGTGGGGCTACGGCCAGGCAGCCTTCAGCGCTGCATGGAGTGCCCCGTGTTGACTCCCAGCCCTCAGTGCCATCCGGAGTGCACCATGAGGCATTCTGGAAGTGATTTAAAGGGCCCGGGGCAGTTGGCCCCTCCCACTGTTTGGCTGGGCTGCTTATAGGACTCATGCCATGGGACTATTTAATTGCAGGGTAGACAGACCTCTCACCTCACATGGTCTTAGAGCTTTGGCTCCTGCCTGAACTCATCTGTCTACCCTGTTTTTACACAGCCCTATAACCTGAGTCCCAAGAGCCCCATTCAGCTGGCATGGGCCAACCATGGGTTTATAACTGCACTGTAGCTCTATCTTGCATTGTCTTCATAAAAGGTCTCTTCAAACTACTGCAGAGATGTTTATCCAGGATTTCCAGGTGCATCTTCTAGCAGAGACATCCTATTAAAGAAATGGATGGCCTTTAATCTAAGAGTCCCACACTTGTGAACAAATTGGGAGTGAAGCTGTTATTAAAATGATTTTGTCTTATTTTCCTTGAAACGAGGAACAACATTCATCAACCAGAAACCCATCTGTCTAGTGCTGCCTTTCTCATTCTGCCAATGGGAACTGATGTCTGCCAGACATATGGCCAGCTCTCAGTTTTATATTCAGTCCAAACCATTAAATCAGAATTATAACCAAGGACCCCTTTCCTGTGCACTTCTGTGCCCATGCATTTTACAGCACAATTCTCTTCTTTTCTCAATTCCCTATCTGTGATTAACCACGTCACCATTACACTATTGCTGCATCTGCTATAAACATTTGCCTGCTGGAAGTCAAAATTGTCCATCTTTATTCTCTATTTTACAGGCCTTCCTGCTCCACAACTCCCCTAACCCTGTTTGTGTTACCAATTTATGTCCATAAATGGGTATAAATCAAGCATCTCTGGTGCATAGTTTAGATCTACTGTGGCTTAGAGGACACCAGCCTTTGGAGACAGCAGAACTATTTAAGAATGCAAATATAAGACACAAGCTAAAATAGAGCAGTGATTTAAAAAGGTGAGAGTGGGGAGTGAATGAATGTAATAGACCAAAGTTGACTCTCCGGCTATGTCTAGACTGGCAAGTTTTTCTGCAAAATCATCTGCTTTTGTGGAAAAACTTGCCAGCTGTCTACACTGGCCACTTGAATTTCTGCAAAAGCACTGACGATCTCATGTAAGATTGTCAGTGCTTTAGCGGAAAAACTATGCTGATCCCGTTCGGGCAAAAGTCTTTTGTGGAAAAGCGTCTGTGCCAATCTAGACTTTTCCATTAAAAGCATTTGCGGAAAATCATGCCAGTCTAGACGTAGCCAATAGACTGGGAAGCAGGAAAAGAGACAGTAATACTCACTGATTCTATCATGGGAAATTTTACTGGGATGGTCTGTACACAATTCCACCTCTACAGTCCTAGCTCCAGGAAAGCGTTTCATCCCTGAGGCTATGTCTACAGAGTTTTTCTGGGATACCAGCCGTAGTCCAGAAAAACTCTGCTGTGTCCAGGGAACGTGTCTGTTCTTTCAAAAAACAATTTTTGGAAGAGCAGATGCGGTTTTTTGGCATCCCTGTAAGCCTCATTTCATGAGAAATAAGGGCTGTTCTGAAAAAAAGAGATTTTTCCGACATTTGGTCGTGTGTAGGCCATTTGCGTACCTTTCTCTGGAAAAAAAATGCAGTCTAGACACAGCCTGGATTCAAACATTGCCTTTAACCAGTGCTTGCCTTTGACTCAGTATCACACCTCCCTCTGGGAATGCATATAAGTGGTCTCTTTCTGGACCAACATGATTACTGTTCTCACTGCAGCTGAGTTTCAGAGATTCTCTATCCTGCTACTGAAGGGTTGTTCTTTTCTGAAAGTAAAGGGGAAAATATTATCATTATGCGGGTGGAGGGGAGGTACAGGGAAAAATTCTTCCAAAAAGTGAACATAGAATCCCTTTGATTTTTGCTCAGCTGGAAAAAAAGTGTATATCTCGAGTTAAACTTATTCAACTAGCAGAAAATAACAGCAATTTGTCAAGCAGAAGAGGAAAAACCCTTACATTACAAACCCTTTTTCTGGCCAATATTTTGAGCATTGTCATTTTGTTGTGCTGGGGGAACCTGTACCACCCACACGAATAACAGAAGAGTTTTAACATCTATGGGGAAGGATTATGCAGTATTTTAGAAAAGGGAGCCCAATATCTGTGTGTTGCAGGCTGTTTGTCCTTACTGAATGCCTTTCTGCACCAATGCCTCCGTTCAGAAAAGCACTTAAGCCCATGCTTAACTTTTAAATACATGCTTAAGTCACCATGACCTGCATAAGCTCCCATGCTAAATGGGGATGCTTTCCAGAATAAGGGACCTTCATCGGTCTATAGTTCTAGAACAATTTGAAGGCCATATGAGATTAGCCTGCAGCACGTCTGTTGAAAAGGTTTATTCAAAATGCCATTAACAACTCCTTAGGACTTGCTATAGTGACGTTTGCTAAAATATTATTGGCTTCTACATTTTGCCATTCCAGATCACCTAGCTGGAAACAAAGGTGAAAAAATGAATTACTTGTCAACACATGGTGATGAAACAGATTGCCTTTAGCACTAGGGATGTAAAATTCCATTTAATTGGTTAGCCATTTCAGCTTGATGTTTAACTGGTTAACCGATTAAAGGAGGGGTGTGGGGGATGTTTAACCAGTTAACTGATTAAAGGGGAAGCAGCCACTGCCTATGACATGCCCCACAGGGGCTCTCCTGCCTGCAATGAGCCCAGTCTTGCTGCAGATAGGGGCTGCTTGAGGTGACTGGAGCAGCCCTGCCCCATGACGTGCCTTGGTGTGTAGGAAGCTGCTCCAGCATGCACTCGTTAACCGCAACTGGTAAGCCTCACTCATTAAAGACGAGGCTTACCAGTTAACCTTTCACATCCCTAATTAGCACTTTATTTACAAGCAAGTGTAGTGCCAACTATTATTGATTTTGTGGAATGGTGGGGGGAAGTCTAATGAAATGCATTTACTGTCCTCTCTTTTTTGGCTTTCATCTCTCAGGCTATGTCTACACTACAAGCTTATTTCGGAAGAAGCTTTTCCAGAAGAGATCTTCTGGAAAAGCTTCTTCCAAAAGAGAGCGTCCACACAACAATAGTGTAACGAAAAAGCGATGTGCTTTTTTGAAAGATAGCATCCACACTGACAGGACGTTATCTCGCATGTAAGTTGTGATTAGTATGGATGGAGTGGCCACTAAGGCACGTGTGTTGTTATCTGGAGGCCTCGTCTTTCGAAAGAACTCCCTCTTCTGCGTCCACACACACCTTTTTCTGAAAAAGGCTTCTTCCTCATAGAAAGAAATTTACCACTGTTGGAAAAACCCTTCCATTCTTTCAACTTTTTGTCGAAAGAACGCAATAGCAGTGTGGACGTAAGTATAGGTTTTTCTGGGAAAATGGCCATTTTTTCCAGAAAAACACTGCAGTGTAGACTTACCCTCAGTGAGGTCTGCATGTAAACCAAGTCCTATTGACTTCTATTTGGAGTATTCTCCTAAGGAATTCACTGCAGATTCAGGGACCCAGGTTTTGCCTACACTAAACAGTTTAAAGTGCTGTATATAAACCACCTTTGTGAGGGGAGTAGCTAACAGTGCTGAGAGCTGTGCTCCCAGCATTGTCTTGGTTCATACTGGTACTTTGCAATTCTGTAACTTGCTGCACTCAGGGACAGGGTGTTTTTTACACCACTGAGTCAGAAAGTTACAACGTTGTAAAGTGCCAGTGCAGCCTTAGCCTCAGTTGTAATTAATTTCTGGTGCCATAAAACATCATTAGAGTTTTTCTTCCCATACCACACAAGGGAGATAATTATCAACAATTTGAGACAAATTGGCAAATTCGTCAGTAATTATTATTGTGATCCTCTGTATTTTTAAAGAGATTAAGTTTAAAATAAATGCGACGTTTTAAAAAAAAAAAACATTAACATTCATGTTATTTTTAGGAGAAATCCTCTCTTGTGAGGCTCGTTAAATTATGTGGTTTGATGTCTAACAATATGTGAACAAAAAACTCTGGAAGCACTGGGGAATATAAGGAAGTGTCTCATATTTCCAGAATCCTGTAATGAATCCCACATAGAATGCCAGTTAGGATCTGGCAGTCCTAGCAAAGGAGATAGTTGGCCCAGGATTCCCAGTCACCATGGGCCCTTTAAATCACCCCCAGTTCTTTAAGTCGCCACCAAAGCACTATGTCATGTCTGTCTGGCTCTGAGGACTGAAGAGGGACACTGCAGTCTGGGCAACATTGAGGACTGACTGACTATAGCTCCGTCCCTTCTTTCTAAGGCTCCTCCCTTTCTGGGAGCACAGAGTGGGGTTCCCCATTCATCTTGTCCAGGAATCTGCAGAGGCTGTCAGCTTCCCTGGCTTAAGTAGGAACTACACAGCATTTACTTACCCTCTTAATTGTGAATTCTTACATTGACAGTTTTACAAATGCTGATGTATAGGTCTACAGTCATGAACATAATAAGGTGTCAGTCTTACCTTAAATATAGAGTCCTACATATCTGTGTTATTCCTTGGTACTTGCAACGGGAAACAGCATCTGCAGTATTCCATGTTTGGTTGTAATAAACTTATTCTGTTACCTAAAGAACCACCCGGGTTGCTATTGTAATTAAAGCACGTGAAACTCGAAGGTGGAGAGACCATGTCTAACCAATAAAAGCTTTGGGGCCAGTCTCCTTTGTGTGTTATTTTATGAAGTCTTCATGGCTGCTTGGAATGAATATAAACAAACTTCAATTTGGCTGCACAATCAAGCAGGCAAATTTATGGAAGGCGAGTAAAACACAGCATCGAAGCAAAGTGCCTCTGGGGAGCTCTCTGCTCCCTGCCATAAACATCATCGCCTTTCCTGTCCACGAAGGGAATGAGATTAACAACAAGCTTTCTGCTACTGTGAGGGCTCCAGACGTGTCCCCAGATGGCACACACAGTTCATGGGCTGCAATGATGCAGGATTGTCAGCACACAGCTTGTCTCAAAGAGCCTGTGTTCAAGCAACTTCAATACAAGGTGCTTTTTGTAACATTTACCAGCCCTTGTTTGCATATATGTAAGAAAGCTTCGAACAGGCATTGTAACCTGGTCTCTTTTTTTTTTTCCTGCCCAGGATCCTCTGCTTCTTAGACAAACCAAGAAGATCTCTTAGTTTATCCAGGCTTCAGCTTGGTACTGCCACTGAGGTTTTAAAACATCCTTCCCTTCGGAGCGCCTCAGAGCCAATACTTAATTTCCCAAAGGAGACTGAGAAGAGCAATGCAAAAAAATCTCTTTTGACCTCAGCAGGGATCTGAATGCTCTCAGTCAAATTCTGCTGTTGGTGATATTCGTTATAGGGAGACAGGAATAAATGTATGTAATTGCCAGTGGGGTTTCTACCGATGTAGCACAGATATTAAACCTGGCAGTAAATCTTGATTCTCCTCTGTCAGAAACAGAGAGAACCCCATGATAATATACTCAGACATTGGTAGCTCACAGTCGATTTTTCCAGACTGCTTGGAAGCAGCACAATAGGACACCTGGATATGCAAGCAGAATGTGACCCCAGTTTCTCTGCATTACTGGCTTCTCTGGGGTGTGAAAAGCCAGTCAGTAGTAAGAATTAAACTTATGGCTCCCATATGTCAGTAAACAGCTAATATCCAAACAATGGAGCCTACTGTTATGTGCTATTTGCAGTGCAGTAGCATGCGGGGTCTCAGTCCCATGGTGCTATAGGCATTGCACCAAAGTATTAGAAAAATATAGGCGCTGCCCCAAGTAGATACAGCTGCAGGAAAATAAAAGCTTTGCAGAGCTAAACAAAACAAAGTCCCACCAAAGCATACCTCAGGCGGGAGGTACTCAAATTTCCTCTCATTTAAGACAATGGCCAAAGTCCTATTAACTTATATGTTGCAAGATCATACTGCCCTGTGCTGAATGTCATATAGGGAACTAAATAGATGGTTGCTGTACTAAATGAATGTAGTCTGAGTTCATGCTATTATAGATAAACAGATGCATCAGATGTTTTGTTACACACACACACACACACACACACATCCTTTTAGAATTACCTTTTAGAGCCTCCAGCTATGTCTACACTACAGGGATCTATTGCAAAAAGGACGCAAGTTGCGCTCTGCAATTTGTAAAAGCGACGAGGAGTCCTGTGGCACCTTATAGACTAACTGAAGTGTAGGAGCATAAGCTTTCGTGGGCAAAGACCCACTTTGTCAGATGCATGTAGTGGAAATTTCCAGAGGCAGGAATAAATATGCAGGCCAGGATCAGGCTGGAGATGACTGACCTGGAACAACGCTTCCTCAGCTCTCGTCCACTTACACCCCTTCTCTACCTACGCTACATCGATGACATCTTCATCATCTGGACCCATGGGAAGGAGACTCTGGAAGAATTTCACCATGATTTCAACAGCTTCCACCCCACCATCAACCTCAGCATGGACCAATCTACACGGGAGGTCCATTTCCTGGACACCACGATACAAATAAGTGACGGTCATATCAATACCACCCTATACAGAAAACCTACCGACCGCTATACTTACCTGCATGCCTCCAGTTTCCATCCCGGACACACCACACGATCCATTGTTTACAGCCAAGCACTGAGGTACAACCGCATATGCTCCAACCCCTCAGACAGAGACCTACACCTACAAGACCTTCAACAAGCATTCTGTAAACTGCGATACCCACACGAGGAAGTGAGGAGACAGATTGACAGAGCCAGACGTGTACCCAGAAGCCTCCTGCTACGGGACAAGCCCAAGAAAGAAACCAACAGAACACCACTGGCCATCACCTATAGTCCCCAGCTAAAACCTCTCCAACGCATCATTAGTGATCTTCAGCCCATCCTGGACAATGATCCCTCGCTCTCACAGGCCTTGGGAGGTAGGCCGGTCCTTGCCCACAGACAACCCGCCAACCTGAAGCATATTCTCACCAGCAACTACACACCGCACCATAATAACTCGAACTCAGGAACCAATCCTTGCAACAAACCTCGGTGCCAACTCTGCCCACATATATACACCAGCAACACCATCACAGGACCTAACCAGATCAGCCATACTGTCACTGGTACATTCTCCTGCACATCCACCAACGTAATATATGCCATCATGTGCCAACAATGCCCCACTGCTATATACATCGGCCAAACAGGACAGTCCCTACGTAAAAGAATCAATGGACACAAATCTGATATTAGGAATGGCAACATACAAAAACCTGTAGGGGAACACTTCAATCTTCCTGGACACACAATTGCAGATCTAAAAGTAGCTATCCTGCAGCAAAAAAACTTCAGGACCAGACTTCAAAGAGAAACTGCTGAGCTACAGTTCATCTTTAAGTTTGACACAATCAACTCTGGATTAAACAAAGACTGTGAATGGCTTGCTAACTACAAAAGCAGCTTCTATTCTCTTGGAATTCACACCTCCAGATCAGCTGCTAGAAGTGGGCCTCATCCTCCTTGATTGGATCCACCTGGTCATCTCCAGCCTGATCCTGGCCTGCATATTTATTCCTGCCTCTGGAAATTTCCACTACATGCATCTGACGAAGTGGGTCTTTGCCCACGAAAGCTTATGCTCCTACACTTCAGTTAGTCTATAAGGTGCCACAGGACTCCTCGTCGCTTTTGCAGATTCAGACTAACACGGCTACCCCTCTCATACTCTGCAATTTGTGTACCTTTTTCTGATAGTTTGTTCGGAAGATGCTTTTCTGAAATTTGGCCTGTCTCCTCTTTCGGAAAAGCACTTGTTCCTCATGGGAGGAGAAAAACAGGGCCAAAAGAGCACATCTGCTCTTCCGCAAAAAAGAAGCGGAAGAGTAGACGCATTCCCTGGACGTGGCGGAGTTTTTCTGAGATTCGGTATCCCAGAAAAACCCCATATTGTAGACATAGCCTCTATAGATTGTTAAGTTAAATCAGGTAGAGCACTCTGAGAACATTTCTCTGAGGGTATGTCTATACTATAGAGGGGTTTTTTTTGGAAAACGGACGTTTTTCCGAAAAAAACCTTCAATTACGTCCACTCTGCAACCGCATTCTTTCAAAAGAAAATTGAAAGAACAGAGGGGTTTTTCCAACATTGGTAAACCTCTTTCTACGAGGAAGAAGCCTTTTGCGAAAGAGCTCTTTTGGAAAAAGGCATGTGTGGACAGGAAGAGGGCGTTCTTTTGGAAGAAGAGGAAAGAGGAAAAACCACAGGTACCCTGGTGGCCATTCCATCCTCAATAGTAATCACAGCTTGCATGTGAGATAGCGTCCATTCAGTCTGGACGCTATCTTTCGAAAAAGCAGATCGCTTTTTCGATGCGCTTTGGCAGTGTGGACGCTCTCTTTCGGAAGAAGTTTTTTCAGAAGATCTCTTCCGGAAAAGATTCTTCCGAAAGAAGTCTGCAGTCTACACATAGCCTGACTGTCCTTGTGTGCCAATTCAGAATATTCCTGGAGTGGGGATATCGTCTTTCGTTATGTTTGTGTACTGATCCCCGCACACTGTCAACACTTAAGAAGTAATGAGTAATTATAATAATAATAATAATAATTAATAATAAAATGACAGAGATGAGCACACCAGCTATGAATTGATTTGGGAGCAAATATAGACAGAGTAATAAAGACGTAATCCTCAGTGACATTATTCAAATGAGAGGGGAGGAGACAAATGGAAATAAATCATGATCTCCTTCCATCAGAAGTACAAAGAGCTCCCTGGGACAAGCCCAGTGGATGGCTGGAGCTCATGAAAGCAGAGCATTTTGTGGGTACTCCACAGCTGATTTTTTTTTTCAAAAGGGCTTTGAAGAGGTATAATTATTTTCAAAAGCCTTAAGGAAGCTGCACATCAGAAGATATATGGAAGGAACAATATGCATTGATAAAGGTAACAAGGCACTCAGTATTTTTATGTGGGGATCTCTCAGTATTTTAAAAGAAAGCATAGCAAGGCATTTTGTGTTCCATTTCTGGCTTCAAATGGAGTAGCGGACAACATGAAAAGCTGCATGTTAAATAATGCTCTTTAAATGATAATCCCATAAGAGAAATTATTCTATTTGTTAATTTGGTTCAAGTAAAATCTATTTCAAAGGTTGAACTCCAGTAGGGGAAATGAGAGTCTCTATTAAAATCAACCCACTCTACACACACACATACCCAAATTAGGTTGAATATTGCAGATTCACATGCCTCTACCAATGACCTCTCACTTCCAAGACACTAGAGGCATCCGTACAGCATCCTGTAGTAACAAAGTCAGCTCTCTGGGTTCTAATAAGCTATTTGCAGCCCCATTAGCAACAGAGATGCCTGAGAAATCAAATCTGTAATACAGGTATTTCCCTCTAATGACGATTACAAGTAATAGAACCATTCATTTCCACTGCATGGGCCCTAAGCCAGGCAGACAGACCACTGGGGATGAGGTATTATTAATTTATTAGCCTGGTGCTACAAAGCATTGCATCCTAATTCAATTTTAAAACCTCCTCATTCAACTGTACATACACATTAAAATTTCATAGAAATT